CAACAGCCACTAAACAGCCAGGCGCTAGGCCTTCCTGGTAGCTTGTACCTGGTTTCACCTCCGCTTCCTGCCTTCTCCTTTCTTCGCTTCGAGACCTGCCCTGCCGCAGGCTGTCAAATCCTCCACCAGCAAATGACAAACTTTCGCCGAGATCTTTACACGAACGTACCTTCTCTAACGACCTCGTAACTTCGACGATCTTGATGGAGGATCGATATAGCTATATTGCTGCAAGCAGAGAGTAGAAATAGCTGACGCCTCGTTTTTAATTTACGGGTGTATCACGAGGTGCGATAGGAGAATGTCGATGACTGCGACGAGAACGATGACGATGTAATGTCGGTGAAGTGACCGATGCGTACGATCTGATAGGATGAAAGACGAGCTGAATAACGAAGTACTCTGATTCGTGAGATCCGCGGGAGATTTATGAGAAATGCTGCCATATTCGACATTTAGCGAGTTGAAGACACGCGATGATCTTCGTATCTTGTAATGTGATATAAAATGGGTGAATCGAGAAAAAAAAGCGAGTTATCGCTCGTGCATCGGTGTTAATCAGACGCTCGAGGAAAAAAGAAGGAAGTGAATATTCGCCGAGTAGAAATGGATACGGTGGTTTTTTTGAAGAAATACGGTTCACTGCAGTCAAATTGGAATCAGATATCGGGTTTGATAACGATCGAACGAATAAGCGCAACGTACGCTGAAGCTAGAAACGTTCGATTCCTTTCAAGTATAACGTAATCAAGACATTCTGGAAATCGGTACAGTCACAAAGATGAAGAAAGATTTACCGATAATAAACGACGACAAAATTATCCAGTCTTCGATAAAACCTCATCCGTATTCCAATAATCCACTGATAAATTTTAATAAAGGGGTCCGTCTTCGTTAGAAGAACAATAAGAAACAGAAGAAGAAACGCTACGAGATATCACGCACTATTTTGCACTCATAGTTAGCCATAACCGCAACCAGTAAAAATATTACGTCCCTCCTCAACGTTACACATCCTTTGCAGTCACATCGTCATCGTTGTTAATATACGACGTTGCATCGTTCCGAGTCGTTTCTCTATATTGTGTTTATACCGGAAAATTTCGCTCCAGACCATCTTCTATACAGGCACACGAAGTTTCCATTTCTAAGCATAGGATCGGTTTATATATTTGGGGGGCGGAGCAGTTTGATTGTATCCTGAAGGGTAGATTGCTGGAATAACGGTCGCGTGGGGAAGGTAAAAAGAGGCGCAATCCCAACGTCGATAGTCGTTTCTTTTTCATACACATTCTTGCGAGGGCCACGTAAGCCAGGTGAAACTCGCATGGTCAGTACAAGCGTCCACCCTCTTGCTATCGACCGCCATTCATAATTCAGCCGAGTCGATCCTGAATGGAGGGCTGTATTATGAAGCATCGTGTAGGCTGGCCACTATCGCCGAATTAAAGCGGAACATATTTTATTTGGGATGTTTCGTCGACTAAACGCCGACGACGCAAAACAAACCAATCTAGCTAACGAAGGAATTGATCGTTGTTTCCAAGTAGGTGGAGATTCCAGGGTTCACTATTGTCTGGTAGTGTTTGTTTGAACGACGGAGAAGTTTTAATTTCGCTTTCGACTTGTCGTCGTGTGACTTGTTTAACATGAGAAGGAAGTTGGTTGTTTCGAAGAGCGTTTTCAGCGAACGTGTATGTTTGAACACTGTTGGCAGAAGTTCGGAAATGTATGACACATAGCGTGTGTTGGTGCTTCCGTACCTATTGTTTTAATATAATTTATGAATTAGAAACTTATACGAGGATTATTATAATTCATATTAAATTCATGCGTCATTTCAAAGGACAATCATCGTTTCGTAGATAAGAAATACAAAATTCTAAGACAGCTCAGAACATTATCATCGACAAAATATTCCACTGACGTAAGATATAAATTTCTTAAAACGTTTTAATACAACTTACTCCACGATAGTTTATTATGAAAACTGAAAGAAATCTCATCGTTGCTATATCACTGGAAATTCTTGACGGTAAGCAAAGTAAATTCAACCAATGCCCCCCTAATCTCTATTTAAACAGCGTACGAAGACAAATGTTACGCAGGATGATCCCCACAATCGGCGACCTCAAGATAAACGTAGTTAAATGACTCTCGATACCGCAAGCTTCACGGAATTCTCCAGATGTACCAGGTGTAACTAGCGTACACTCGTCTCATCAAAACCGCATTCTTGCACACACTATAGAAAATCACCATGTCCGCAATTCTCAATTCAAAGATAAACGTCGCTAAACCAACATTTAGTTACGGATACTAACGCGACGATCATTAATCTCACCTCGTAAATCGTGAGCGCACATAGATAGGAGGCAGTCCCTCGAGCATCGTCCTAGAATACGCAAAACGTTTCTCGACTAAGTCAATCAAATCGTCGTAAAGCTAATGTTTCGTGTTGCATAATGTGCCATAAAGTTCGCGTTTATCATAGAAAGTGATTGTTTTGTAAAAATTTAGTCCTAGAAATAAACTAAAGATTAAAAGATGTTTAACCTGTAACTGGTATGCTCATTTTATCACGTAGATAGAAATGTTTAGAAATTTATAACAAATTTTATTATGGATTATACGTACATCGATGATCAGTACAGTCGGCGCGATCGCACAGTCAACGTGTTAAATCGCACATTGATCAAGTGCAACACCTCGCAAGACGAATTTTCCAAATTATCACAAAAATTAAGATTGCTAGGGTTTTACAAATCCCAATTATGGGAATAGTTTCGAAGAATTTCTAACATTTAGTTACGGATACTAACGCGACGATCATTAATCTCACCTCGTAAATCGTGAGCGCACATAGATAGGAGGCAGTCCCTCGAGCATCGTCCTAGAATACGCAAAACGTTTCTCGACTAAGTCAATCAAATCGTCGTAAAGCTAATGTTTCGTGTTGCATAATGTGCCATAAAGTTCGCGTTTATCATAGAAAGTGATTGTTTTGTAAAAATTTAGTCCTAGAAATAAACTAAAGATTAAAAGATGTTTAACCTGTAACTGGTATGCTCATTTTATCACGTAGATAGAAATGTTTAGAAATTTATAACAAATTTTATTATGGATTATACGTACATCGATGATCAGTACAGTCGGCGCGATCGCACAGTCAACGTGTTAAATCGCACATTGATCAAGTGCAACACCTCGCAAGACGAATTTTCCAAATTATCACAAAAATTAAGATTGCTAGGGTTTTACAAATCCCAATTATGGGAATAGTTTCGAAGAATTTTCAAAATTTAATTTTAAATTTAAATTTAAATTTCAAAATTTAATTTAAATTTAAATTTAAATTTCAAAATTTAATTTTAAATTTTCGATCGATCGCGATCGATACGTTCGAAAACGGAGAACAGTAGCTCGCGTACTGTCAAGCAAAGTAATATGCTTTTCAGATAGGATAGTAAGAAGAATCTGTTTAATTACGAAACGGAACGTTCAAGGGTGAACGTAAATAAAAATACAGTGAAGTATGTTCGCCTCTACAACTACGATATGCAATGATAAAAATAAGCGAAGCAAACGGTTCGTACCTTCAATGAAAGTGTTACAATAGATCCGCTTACAGGACGTTCTTCTCGTTTTAGTTATCTCGCTTTCTATCAGATTAGCTTTCAACGGATACAGGTGATCTACAGTCAATCCTGAACATAAAAGCCATTCCTGTTTTTTGCAACGTCGGTATATTTGGAGACAATAATCGATAAAATACCAACACACCGTGGACAACGATAATGAATGATCGTTTAAATCGCGACGAAATCGGGCGAATATCTTTAACGAAGGTCCGAGCTAAGGAGAAATCTCCGTGTGCATCGATACGCGACATTCAACGACGGTCAAGTCAGTTACGTAAAAATGCAGAGCTTAATGAAGCCCCGACCTCGTAGCGTTCGGATTTAGAAATTCGAGTCTGCACTTTTCTACCATTTTCTATGTTGCCATGTAGTCGTCTTGTCGTTCGCGGTCTTCGACGGTACGTAACACGATCACGAAGGGCTCCTTGCTTCTTCTCTTATTTCTGTAGCACTTTCATAAAATAGTAAACTCTAATATGGATGAATAAAAACGAATAAATTTGAATTTTTCCTGTTAAATATTGGATCGTGTCATTTTTATGAACTTCTTTCATAAGACGATAGATATTATTGGAATTTCGTTTGCGTTTACGATATTCGATATTATTTATTTCTTCTCTTCTTTCTACACATCTTTCTTGAAATCGTAATTACGACCGTGGATGTCTGGATGGAAAAAATTAATAAATTGGAAATGTCTGGATTGCGAATAACGTTTGTTTAACACTGCTTATAGAATTAACACTCTTCATAGCTCGCGTTTTAAAATTAACTGATAATAATATAGAAGAGCAATTAACGCATGCAATTTAAGCCCCAAATAAAGAAAAAACTATTTTAAAAAATTTGATAGAAGACACGATAGAGAAATATTGGAAAATATCAGATGATCCGGAATAACACGCAAATATTATACTTTGAAGAATATACCTATAGATGATCTAAATTGGACAAAATAGGAATCGTAGAGTAACCGAGGAAAACGTTATTTCATAGCAGGTTTCGTTTTCGACGTATTTAAATTTGAAAACTCGTCGAGCACGCTTGTTACGAGAAACAGCGAAGCTCGTGTAGCGGAGAACAGTATTCTTTTAACTAAGAATGGTAAAGAAAGTGTACCCAATTAAGGGAGAAAATGGTTGGAACGTTTGTAGAGTGGCAAACTCGGTTCACGTCAACGGAAATTCGTAGCGCATTTTCGAATTCCATAAATCTAGTTTGATACGCAAAATAGACGTAATATTTTTTAACAACTCGCGAAATGGTCGAGAAACGGGACAACTGGTTGGTTCTGTAGCAAGATTTTTTTAAAACATACCTTGGCCGAGTGCACGTGTACTCGCCTGCATTTCAAAGTAAATCGAGTGGAAAACAAAGTCCTGTATAGAACACGAAAGAAAACAATTATTCCGTCGTTTTAACTCCTTATGAAAAGTTGCCACGTGTTGTATCGCGACAGTATTTTCGTTATTTGCTACACAGATGACATAATTACAGAACACCGTTGTATTAATAATTAAAAATCCATTAGCCTGGTTTCTTCCACATGCATTTATCCGCCAGATTGTGTTATTATTTTTATGATTACGAAATCTTAGGGAAATTTTTGCTCTACCTTGATTACCAACGTTATTTTTCAAAGGCACCGTTATTTTTAGCTTGCTGATAGAGCTACGGTAGGTACACAAAAGTAAACTAAAAGAAGCAGGTACAAAGAATTCTTTACCTTCGCCGCTTTAGATTTTCAAGACTAACGAGAATCTCTATGTAAATGGCACAGAAGAAAAGACAAGCGACAGTCAGGAGATAACTTGTTAACTGGAAAGTTGCCATTTTCCTGAAGGAGACTTTGAACCGATAATAATAAATTTCGTTGTAATATTTGTTGTCATCATCAGCAAAAAATAGCCGAGTAATGAATTATTTTATTTATACTTGAAATTTCGCTTCAATAAGTCTCTACAGAGGATTATATACAGAGAATATGTCACTTTGAATGGATCATGCAAAAATATCAGTTTTTTGTCCTGTTCCAATATTTGTTACTGCTACATTGAAAATGCATCTAAACAGAAAATTATTTTTCGCTTGTACCGTAAGGAGAAAGTCAACAATGAGCATTAAACGTATAAATCACAATTAATTTGCGATTTTGAATGGATCGCGCAATTTTAATTCGACATAGAAAGTTTGACATTTTTAATGTTCAACGTATCATCGTCTAACTCGAAACAGAACTCTACTTTTTGGCCAATATTCAGTTTAACATTACTATATATAACGTAATTGCATTTGATATTTGCATCGATTATAACAAAATAACATCTACACCGTGTTCCACATGATTTTATCACCTGCGCTTCGCACACAGAGAAGTCGATTGCAATTTTCCTTAATCACGTCGTAATTCGCGAACGGCGATTTTATTAAACCGATCAACCAGATAACAAGAAGCCGAGAAAATTACGTAGGGTTAATTTTCATTTATGAGGAGCAAGAATATCGATCAAATGGAAAGTGGTTTTTTAGGAGGAAACATTTTTACTTCACACACTTATCGTTTGAACATGTACACGTACTCCGAAAACTTCCCACCTTTTTAAATCACAAACGTAAAAATAAAAAAGGGACAAAGCAAAATAATGATTTTTTGCACGTTCCTTTACCGAGGCTCGAAGATTATAACTGCTCGAAAATTATGGCTCTATCATATTCTTCTGCAGTTTGAACGTTCAGGGGCGCAGAAATATTCAATGACTTTACGATAACCGGCAATTTGCAGAAAATGGAACGCAATCAATTCCCGCGGCGATTTTGATCAAGCTACACAAATCATTCCCGTGCACGCGCCGCCCGAAAGCGAATTAATCCACGTGGCTGACTTTATTAAACCTTTAAATCACGTTACGGCTCGGCTAGCGTCCCGCTTTCTGAATTTTACCCTATATAGCAAAAGTTATTACGCCCTCGGTCGGGAGGCTTTTACACAGTGCTTCAATTAATGAGAAAAGTTCCGGGCCCAAGGGGATCGTTCGTTCGTCGATATTCTTTATTCCCGTGAACGCATTTCAACCGGCGCATAAACGAGTGTGTGGCCCTGATGAACGACAAGAATATCGGGCGAACCGTTTTTCTTCCGTCGGAAGAGGGTACGCGGAGAACGGAACGAAAATAGGAAGGTAGAGATAAAAAAAGAAAAGAAAGTTAGAACTAGGAACGAAGAAATGCGTACTGAGCTAAACCTTTGCCTTATAATATTTATAATATCTACTCTAACTTTAATTTCCCTTTAGATTGAAAACTAATAAATCGATAAATTATACGCGACAACTTATATCTGATACGATATTACGTATACTGCTATTCTAGAGTATTCGCATACTTGCAAATAGTAACGTTGAAATAGTAAATGTATATAGTAGTGTATATTAAATACTAACATATTATTGCTTTATCTGTCAGTAGGCGATTTAAATTTAGAGTCAGCTGATTCCAGGAAAAAATAGCAAATGCTATTTTTAATTATCAATCCAGCATTAATTTATATGGTTCTTTTATATCTATTTATATGGTACTTTTAAGCTATGAGAGTAAAGAGCTGTGAAAAAGAGATTAAAATTTCTTGCTTATTATTTAACAATTAGATCGCCCCTTCGCCGCGTGCTGATAACTTTATCGTTTCCATTTCAACCTCAAATATCATCTTAATGGACAGAGATAAGAAACGGAAGATAGAAAATAAGCGAGATACAAGGGGAAAGAAATTGTTTCGAGTGTTCTCCGAGATAGTGCCATCGAAGAGTCGTCTAACCACGACACGGAAGTATACCTAGAATCCGCGTCAACGAAGATGACCCAATTTTTTCACCGATTTCTGGATTATTTAATCATCGTCGCGATAACGTTTCAATCTCTCGAACGCGGTGCATCGACGATCGACGCGATACCGTTTTTCCTCAGCCAGCCGATTATTTAATTTCCAATTGAACGCTCGTTTGCGTTCGTTCGCCGCATTCGAGCAACGTCGTTTCACGACATCAGCCTACCGGTGAAGAAGAAAACGAGCAGCAAAAAGGCGAATGAACGGAGAACGGGGTAAAAAGGGAGGAGGCGGAAGAAGCAGGAGGGGAAAAAGGGGGAAAAAGAAACGAGTCGGTGGCTTATTACCGGGGATATGCTCTTCAATTATCATCGGAGCAGGAACAAGCTCGACGCGCGTTTGCGAGCGAACGTTCGGCTTCGTCGCGATGCTGGCTTCTCTCCGTGTTACCAGCGTCGTGTCATATCGCGGTGTAACCACGATATAACCACCGCACACGGTACATGGATACGTATATAACGAGAGGGATGGCCTGCCTTGTTTAGTTAACCGAATATTTGCCCAATGATGCGCATGTCGTGATAAGCTGACAGGAGCACACAGATAGGCCCGAGTCAACGTACATCCGACGTCGATGTACGTGTATCTATGTATTTTCCGCACTCTCCTCGCCTCGTGACATCAATTTTCGAACGGCCGGTGCGTGCGCGCGCGTTCGTCTCTGTGTACGTGTATACGTGCTGCACGAAGACGGGGACTGTGTGTGCGGGTGTACGTCAAAGAAAGCCGAACGTGGGCCACACTGTAAAAAGGGGGATGAAAGGGTTCAGTTAGAGGAAGTAGAGGAAGCGGAGGCAAACGGAGATAGAAAAGAATAAAATAGAAAAGTAACGGAGGATGGACGAGTGTGCGACTGGGAGAAAGAAAAAGATAGAGAATGGAACGAAGAGAAAAGTGAGTGAGAAACGAGGATGATGGAGCAACAACAACGAGAAGGAACGTCAAAGGAGTGCAACGCATTGTGCTCGTGGATCTCCTTCTCGCAGATATCCATTCACGTTTGATTACAGATGAAAGAATGATTTCGTTATTCGATCGTTCCCTCTTTTTCTATCTATCGAATAACGATACGGAACCGGAGGAAGCTTCGAGGGTGAGATGGTCTTAAATGCAAATGAGACTTAACCTTCTCCGAATTCCCGCCGTTCGACGCTAACTAGAGTCGCCTGGAGGCTTTTTTTCGGAAAACGTCGCGCGACGAGACACGGCTTGCGAATCAACGACGTGCCGTTGGTACAGAACATCGTGGTCGCGAGGCTGTCGCGCGCGCGACAGGCTGCCTCTGCTAGCGCACACACAGTGTGAACAGCCGGAGCGAAGAAGCGGCAGCATATGAATGAAGAGCGACGGAGAGGGAGAGTGAAAACGTAATATTCGGTCCACGCAGCATCCCTAATCATCGTGACTATGAATACGGTAGAACGATGATGCGTGACCTAATCACTGCCATCTTTGCCTGAGATGTGTGCACTAATCGGCGGAACAGAACGTCGAACCACGTACCTCCTCGATTTCATCCTGATCTCGTGCACCAGCTCCGCCAGTGCCTCGGACGCCGCCAGTCTCCGGCTGGGTCTGCCCGTGCTCGCGCCACTTTTATCCCCTCGTTGTCGATGGGCCGACAGAGGGACGACGTCGAGAGAGAGACAAAGAGGGAGAGACGATACGTATGTGTATGTGTGTACGTGACTGAGACGCAAACAACGAGTAACAGAGAGACAGACAGGCAGAGACACAGAATCAGCGAGACAGCCGAGCGAGCGAGAGAGAAACTGAACGACGGACACACACTGAAACGAAGGGATGTTCACTGTGGTGGAGAGACGTCCTCTCCTGTATACGGTTCCCGTACGTCGGACGTCCGTCACGCCAGACGCATCTCTCTCCCCGGTTCGAAGGTCCTTCGACTACTTTCTTCAGAGACACGCTGTTCGTGATCTGCGAACGAGATCTCAGGTGAGACCAGCTCGAACGAAACGCGGCTGTCAGCACGTAGAGCGCACATTTGCGCTCGGCCGACCCGAGCTGGGCTTTACTACTACCGTCTGAGTCCGCTTCTTTCCCTCGGCCCGGGAGTCGAGGCGTCGATACCACGACGACGCTTGCGCGCCACCCCCGATCCACCCTTTCCCACCCGGGCATTTTCACAGCGCATTGGCTCGGAGCCTGCCGGCGCGACGCTACGGCGCCCTGCACGAACGACGTCGTTTCTCCTCGCACGTCGTCCCCGTAACACCCGAAAATCCAGTCGATTTTTGGCAAATTCTCGCACCTCACCTACACCCTTCGCTAATTTCCTGTTACTCTCTGTGCTTCTGCTTCCTCTTTCTCCAATTATCGCCACTCTTCGTCCGTTCGTCGGTTCTCAACGCGCTCGACACGTGCTCCGTGTGGCGATGTCGGTCAACGGGGCCGTTTCGTCATTCCACGCCGAAGCGGGAGGCTGCCCGCCTTCGACGCTTTCAATCGCGACACAGCTTCGTGTCGCAGCTGCGTCACACGTTTCTACTTGCTTGCTTGCTCGCTTGCTCTTGTTTTTCGTTGGGCCACGATGGAAACAATGTCGATGGTCGTTCAGTCGCTATAAACGCCGGATGTTTTCGAAGATATTTTCCAAGATACTTTCCAAGATATTTTCGGGGATATGGGGACACTCGTAGAGAATAGAACGAGAGAAGGCGAAGAAAGATTGATCGCGACTGCGGAAAGTCGAGAGTGTCATCGGAAATTGATCGATCGTACGACAAATTTTACGTCGCTTCAGAGAGAATACTTCGACCAAGTTTTTGGTCTGGTTGAAGGTATTAGTTTCGCGAGAAAGTACGACATACAGTTAGGTTAGTTAGCTCATTGAGTTATTGGATACGTATGAAAATTTATGTTTTTCACTGGACAGCTGTCTGGTCATAGGTGCAGGTGATTAATATTTTGCACCTTTTTACGCGTGAATAAGGTGTCGCCGTGCCCGATTCTGGCGTGTCTACAGATTAAAATCCCATTATGCAAATTGCCCGTAATACTTCGTTTGCATTCGGCCACCTGACCGAGAACTTCTCCATATATTACTGCCAGATAGGAGTATCAATGACGTAACGAGCATGACATTCATCAATATTGTCACTGATTACTCCATGCCTACGATATAAACGCGTTGAAATCGTTAAAACCGTTTTATCTATTTTGCAACAGATTCAACGTTATAATAGCCTACGCGGATCAACGAATAAATCATTCCGTTGAATAATCTACGATATATCTCCTCTATGTATTTTAATTCCAATTTACCATTTCCGATCCGTGGCTGTGTAGGATTTAAATTGCCAATTTCTCTAATCCATCATCGATATCGCGTTAAAACGATGAGCGCTCGTTAATCATCGAGATGTAACATCAAAGCTGGAAAAAGATGAAATAACGCGATTTTAATCAACGTTGTCGAAGCGGAGTGGGCCGAACGACACGGAGAATTCAAATTCGCGCATCATCCTCACGATTCGTAAGTCGAGAACGTTTAGCGACATCCTACATTTAAGTGTTCCGGCATCGTTGAAAGACGCGTTGTATGGAAACGGTGACCTTTCCACCTGAACCTGACTCTCTTTGATATTACGTAATACCACACGATCCGTAAATAACACTCCATTGACTAGCGTAACGCGATGATGAGCGTGTGGAGAACACCCTATCCGGAGTCCCGAAGGATTTACTACTGCTGCAACTGCAGAACGCAACAATCCCATTTGCACGGTCCGTGGTTCGAACATGCTTATTCATAGATAGAAGGCTTAGCTATCCACGGAAAGCAGAACGATATATTACGCTGAAAATTTTAAACTATTATTTAATTCGCGCGATTTTACGCTATCGCCCCGTTATAAATCGCGATTGCGACGTAATCCGACTATTTGCGATGTTCATTCGTTAACGAATATGTGGGCGAAGTGAAATTGACGTTGATTGGTTTCAACTCGTTTAATAACTGTTCCGTTATGATTTTATAGCTATTTATTAAACCGAACAGCTTGTTTCCTGGTCAAGTATATCCAGTTTTTGTTCAATGTTACGCCCAGGTGATCGAATCACGGAATTTTATAACACGTTGCACAATTGAATTTTCGAGAACCGTGATTCATAGCGTCGATTCGTTAGCAGAGGGGGAGAAAATAACGAAGTTACCATCGATCGTTCTCAGTTCCTACGAGAATTCTAATCTTTGTTCCGCGATTGTTCAATACCTTCTTTTTCCTCTGTTTTCCATAGCGAATACGTTTATTCTCAACGAGATCGAATTTGTTATTACAACGATACGACGTGTTCGTCAAGCGACAAATTCGCTATCGTAGGAGACGTTACGGTCCGCAAAAGTGCCACGAGAACGCAACTTCTCGTGTAAATTCAATTTTCACTCAGCCAGCCGGCTAGAGTATCTTTTAAACGGTCATTATGCAAATCTAATTGAAAATTCGATGCGCGAAGACGACCTCGACGAAGGCTCCTCTCCGCTCATCGCCGAACATAAATAACCGATGCGAAACACGCGAGTGAGAGTCGATGATAAAGTGAAACCACTTTGTAAGATGCACTTCGTCGAGATAACAGGAACGCAAGGAACGTGTACCCGCCTAGATATATGCTGATTCAATTATTTCTGTCGTGCTGTGAGCCACCCAGGTAGACGGGGCCATTTTACCTCATTCTTTCATCGTCCATTTGACGCTTGTATCGTAAATGAGCATCGTCTTCTCGTTACATATTTGTTTAATAGTCTTGAAGGATTTTTTTTTCTTTTTTTAACGATTATCGAATTTAAGGAACGAAATATATTTCAAGATGAAATGGAAGTACAAACGTAGTATACGTGTTTAGAGTTTTGGTAGAATATTTAAGTAAATTTGAAAGTATTTGTTTCGTTAAAGAGCAAGCGTAAAAGAACTTTTGAGAAAAACGAAAAGGTCAAGGGTTTTGTTAGTTTAAAGCAAAGTGCGGAGAAAGATTTAAGAGATTAAATACATGTAGCACAGTTTTATTAAAATTTTAAAGAGTAATGCGAATTCCTCGTTACAAAGCAATATAAAGTTTGCTTTCGTAAAGTGGTTAATTAAATGTAAATCTGCAATGATTATGCCAATGATTTTTAATTGTATACTCGAAATAATATCGAATATTTTGACAGAAATATTTGCTGCTGACTAAATATATTTTTAATTTGCCCGATTCTAATTCTAATCCCAATGAAAATACGAATTTATGCTTATCGAAGCATATAATATATATTTAGAGTACCGTGTACGCATCTGTATTGCTGCTTAATCGCATTATTCGTGTCAGTTAAAAGCGGATAGTCCCAGTAGCGTCGTTATATAAAACAAAGTGTTAAGAGGGCATTACATTTCGATGAGTCAATATTATTTTGCCGATATAGACCATCCATGACGTGAAATTGACGATCGCGTAATTCAGTATAGGCAAGGTCTTGCCGGTGACCTTACCGAAGCCCCATCCCAGCGTCGTTCTATTCAAATCAGATAGAACCTCCTTTCATCCACTCACGTTAGACAGGCTGATTAAGTCTTTCTCGGTGCTATTTTCGTACACTCTTGATTAAAAAACAGGAAATTCACGTGCATGATCCGTGGGAAGCCTTCGGCGATATTGCAATAAAGCTCAACTCATTTGCTTCGAACAAAGATTCTAATCAACACCTCCGGAATCTAATTACATAATTCGGTCTCTAGATGAAGCGACACCCAGGCTCGTTTGCGGATAAACGTCGTTTTCGTTATAAAGCTGTCGACACGACGGCGTCCGATCATCGATTACGAGCGTCTCCGCCGATGTGTTGCGCATTTTTCCGTCAAAAATGCTTTCAGGAATGTTGGGACGGTATCAGACGATGCGTCTTTGACGATTCCAATTGAAAACGATTGAAAATTAATTTTTTGCTTTCAATTATTAACGTTAGATCATAGACAAGACGAAAATCGGAAACGAAAGTCACGGTAAAAAAACGATTTACTGCTTATTTTCGTGTATATCTATTTTTGAATCACTTCAATGGTACACGTTTAAAATTGTACTGAAAAATAGCAAAAAACAACGACTGGATCGAATCACTTAAAAACTATACTATACGATTATCGTATCGATACAATCGCGGGAAATGCTTCTACAGAGGCACAAAAACCAACTCTGTCTAGTTTAACCCTCGGAAACATGATCCCAATTAAATTCTGTGAAATAAGGGCGAATAATTAGGAACGAATCGAAACAAGTACACCGATTTCAAATTCCTCGACGTTTGGCATTGATCCAAATCTATGACAATAACCTTACTTTCATCAAGTTAAAAGAAAAGTATCTTCATAACCAGGATCCACGCAAGATATGCAGCGCCTCGTAACTCTGCGCTGGGTGCATCTGCACCGTCGAATGGAACGCTTTAAATTCGTGTTATCGTTCTATTTTTGTAGCAGCCCCTATATACGTCCACTCTGCGGATGGCGCTATTGTCTACCCTCAGACACAGGTTCTATTTATAATTTCATCTCCGTCGATTGGGAACGTGGTTAAGGAGTCTCGGCATCCACAGGAATCCCCCGAAAATCAGCAGGGATGGAATCAGTCGAGTGACGCTACCAGGCATTGAATCATTAAATTTGGCACAGTTACGGTTCATTCTGAAACGAACGACGCGACGCACGCGATACGTTCGCTCATTCTGAAACCGACGGCCATTGTGCCATTCAAATTGGTACATCTCTGATTAGAAACTTGCGCGTCCGTTTCATCGTTGTACCTGGACTCTGTGGGTGGTAACTCACGTGCGACAAGACAACGGCCCAGACGAACACGATTTAAAGGGAACTTTTACGTGCAAATCCGATTAGTCGAAGAAGGCTGTTGCCCACTTTGACATTTTTCAAGCAGCAGATCCATTTAAGCGTCTCTTTAATTCTGGAAAACGAATTTTTCGCAAACTATGCATTCTGTTCCTCTGGCGTTTGATAGGATCAAAGATTATCTTTAATTTTTAATTTCATTTTAAAACTGGATTTAGTTTAATAATTCAGCTGAAAGATTACAAAGACGATTTTGGTATTTTATTCGCTTTAGTGCCGATGCTTGAATCCAGGTTCTAGGTTCCAGAATTGATCCTTGAGTTCCAGAATTTGTCCCAGTTATTCTGTTTCAAGTTAATCTAAAACTCTGATATTTCAATTCTTCATTCGTTTTTTCTACATATCACGTGCCATTAGTAACCCACGACACGCAATAAAAGCAAACCTTCGTTGAACTGACAATGATATTTTTTGCCGTTTTGCTAATTGTAAGATAAAACCAAAAGAAGACGAATGAATCAAAATATGAAGAATCCAATACAACTCGTCCTACTCTTTAACGATACAATCACTGAAATAGTCAAAATTACTAAGACGTGATTCTTCACAGAAACTTAACCCATCTACAACGATACAATTCTAGAAATTTTAATGATTTTTCGCGAAATATATGTTTTTTCCCCTGGTATTATTATATTCTCTCGTGCATCTTCCATTTTTATTTCGTTTATAGAAATTTTACGTTCTATTTATTTATTATTTCATCGATCATTCTAAGTCGTAAAATTTTTTTTCGTTAGAATTTGAACTTCTACAGTATCTCGCAATGTAGCAAAGTATTCAGCTGGAATTTCTCTCTCAGAAATGCATTCGTGACAGACGCGAACGCTACATTATGTACTTAGATCACATAAGGATCGTTTCTATACCGTAGAACGAAGAGCGACCTAGAATGGTCAGTCAACGAACGGTTGCGCAAGATGCAAATCATATCGCAGGATATGAGGGATATCCTAAGCCGTCGAAACGCACCGAACGCTTATTGATCTTCTCCTCCGCGAGAGGAGCAAAGAGAGACCATGAGTCCGAAACGACGCTCGCGGTCGTCGTGGATCTTGGATACAATGGTGACCCCGGCGAAGGTCTCTCTGTCAAACGACCTCGACACTCGAAACTGTGCCGAGGACATCAGGAAGAAGCAGTAAGACTAACAGTCGCGCCCCTGCTTGAGTCCTTTGATGTGAGTCAAATCGGACGCACTGTGGTTACCTCTACGTTCCTGATGAAATTTTAATTAAAAAGGACGTCGGTGAAAAAGAAGTTCGAGACAGATAATTCTTTTTCAAATTATAAACGTACATTTTGTACCGACTTTCGATTCCATAAATCTTTTGTCTTGAAGATGAAAGTGGCGTGTAACGGCGAGTATACGTCTAGAAAAAATCCTTGTACTTTATTCATTAATTTAATTATTAGTAGGAATAAGAACTCGATATATTTGTATTTATAATGTCGCAAAGTATAAGAGTAAACATGTATTTTTGCATTCTAAAGATTGCCATAGAAAAAACGGAAATAGAAATAAAATTTTTGATTGTCTTCCCTATTAGTTCTCTTTTTATATAATTATTACTGTATACAGATACAGAATATTAATGGCAAAGCTGTTAAAAACAGATAGTTGCTTTTCTTTAGCTATAAACCAAAAATTTATGCGAATTTCAATTTATGTAAATTTTCTGTCTTGAGAATAGCTATCGAAGCATTTTTCTTTAGGTAATAAAAGTGTATATTTTATGCAAGATAATTATTTTAAAATTAACAACGAAGATTTTATAACATTAACCGCGATTCGGATGATTTTTAGATCAATGCGTATCTAGACAAAATTCCGCACTGATATGTAAAACGCAATTTCAGATATACCTTAATAGAAGCTTACCTTCCCGCAAACTTGATTAACTTGTTTCTGACCTACTTCGCATTTGTTCTTTCGCAAGAAATGGAGTGCGCCTTTGTCTTCCTGTCAAACTCGACGCGAAACTTCTCGGCCCATTAAAAATTACGACTTAAAGCCTCGTTGGCAGAAGAAGCCGACATACTAGTCGAATCAAAAACCAGTCTCGTTTTAATTTCCATAAAAATCCGCGATTCAGCCTACACCAGACCAAAGCAACTTTCTACGGCTGCCTTCGACCAGAATATTTCCAAATATTTTTCCAACTCAACGTTCCACCAATTTAATTTACCTCGTTGATTCAAATCGCTCTTAACGAATGATCTTCGCAAATAGTTTCAAAGTCGAACCAATTCCATGAAACCTTTAACAATCGTTAGCCCTCGAGATGTTAAAGAAAAGATACACGGTGTCCATTTGACAAAATGACTTTATGGCGAACAAACCCAGGATTACGTATCGTACATGCACACGTGGTTTTTCGAGTTGAAACATCGGTCCGCGAGGAGCAACCGCGATTAATGCGAGAACGGGCACGGTCGGACAAAAGCGAGAGTCGTCGGTGTTAAACAATCGGAGAAAATGGAATGGTCGCGTTTCAATGGCTTCTCTGGCTGTTGGTCACCGGCGTGGCGACCTTGTTTGGATATTTCCCGTATATTTTGCCGCTTCTGGTCACTTTATAATGAATTTGCTGGCTCTGGATTGTAAATGTGGAACTGGTCACGTGCGGCCCGTCACCGGTACATAGCCGTTTCACTTTCGTTCTGATACCCGTGTGCCTGTGCTGCTTCCGTTGCAATATCGAATTTTCTGTTCTCTGTCGTTGTTTCGTCAGTGTCGCCGTGGACGAGCCTTTCGAACTGGTCAATGGTAGAAGGTTGCGTTTCTTCAGCAATCTTAACGGCGATACGGCTAGGATCGTCTTGGCGACGCTTCGTCGACAACGCCAGAGAAGTAGAGCTGTGGCGAACCATGCAAACCAGGGGCCGGCTCTTGGTCCCGGGGCTGGCTCCCTCGACCAGAGAAATAACATCTGAGAATAGTAGATATATTATTCTATTAGCCGAGTAGAACAAAAGGTGCAAAAACGCTACAAATATTTATGAAAATTGCAGGGGTCAGTTAGAATTAGTAAACTAAGTGTTTATTTGCGATTAATAAACCGCGGATGTTTACGTGAATTCGCATTTTTACGAACACGACTAAAGAAATAAAACCTAAATAGAGATTCGTTTCGTCGTTCAAATATTCCAACGGCTATGTACTTTACTTTCGATATTTTATATGCTCTTCCATATCATGTATATTGTGTATTTTTGCTTAACGAATGGATGAGCAGCAGCAGTTTAAAAAACAATTAGCCACGTTAATGATATAAAAGAATACAAAAGGTCTTAAAACATGTGTCGAATTTTTCATCGGTAATTCTTGTTCCAACTATAGCAAACAAGAAAAGAAATATATATAGTTTGCACGTATAATTTTTAGCGTTCCAATCTACATATTCATCCGGAAAGATGGAAATTTTTATTCGACGCAGTCGTTATCGGTCTCAGTGGATCAACTTCGTTAACTCTATCAACGTTTTCCAATTTTCTGAGACCAGGCGTGGTGGTAGATAGGAAACCCGTAGCGAAGGTGTCGAATTACCGATAGACCTGGAGCTGGTGTTCTCCGTGACGAAAGATCATTTGCCAATTAAGAAGCAGGATTCGGGTCGAGCGCGTGGGCGTGCACGGCGTTAATTGAAATCGCGAGTTTATTCGAACGATAACGAAGCGAGCGGAGCCGACCAGCCGTTCCGTATGCTATGGGAAACATTTTTGTCGTTGCCGGTTCGCAATTTTTCATTAATCAAATCGCCAGTGCACCAGCAGGCTGCAGAGCAATTAGCGAATAAATTGCAGTCACCGAAAGGGAGGAGCACGAAACGTATTTGCTTCCCTAGTGACGTTTTTTGCACCGAGTTAGCCAAGATAGCCTACGATATTTCAATGAATTTCAATCAATTCGTTCTCGTTGCTTTCAACACCGTCATTTTCATGGAAGAAGGAAAGAAAGGAGATCGATCAGAGTCTGATCGTTAATTGGAAATTGGACGCGCGTGTTCCTTGCTAATTTAAAACATTTTTCTTTTATGCAACGATCTAAAAAAGGCACCCACCAATTTATAAAATTTGCTTAAACACGAGATAATTAAAAACAATTATAACACACCGCGACCAAGTACCCTTTGAACCTGACGCACATATACCGTTCAATTGACCGCATAAATTAAGACGAAAGGGATAAAGGTTAACACACTCTGCATTCTCCTTACTTTGGTCATTCTCACGTTCTCTGGACTGTAACTTCCAAACTGAGAAAAACGTCTAAGCGTGAGTCAGGATAGGAGCAGCAAAGGGTTAAGAGAGAAGAGAGAAGAGAAGAACGCTAGTGGAAAAGATCGATTCCGTGACCGTCGTGCTTTTTCAAGGCTGTCCAGCGCTAAATCCACGATAATTCGTTTAGGTAGACCGGTATAGATCGCGGTAGTAGGCCGCGTTCAGACTTTTATGGCTCCCCGAACGACGTGGACATCGTCATCCTCGTAGAGTTTTCCTACGTTTACCCTGCATTCCTTTCCTCTCTGAACGCATACATGTACTGAACACATACACACGGCTGACCCATTTGGCAAAGACTACCGCCACGGAGAATTCCGCATTAGCCAGCCACCGCGTGTTTTTACCGTTAAAACTGACCTTATAGATCCAGTCGCTGGCGCGCTGCCTGAAACTTAGGGGTCGATCGACTGGCCGAAACATAGAATGGCCGTGAACGGAGACTTACTCTGAACGGTAGTTGAACCTGCTACAGAAAGACGGTGTTTGCGTTAGAAAGATTAAATACAACTAAATGTAACGTATACGTAAGCTGTAGTATGTGCTTAAAAGACATATATGTAGGTACAATGGCTCACGGAAGACGATTGAACGTTTGTCGTAAAAATCTTTTATGTTTATGTACAAATTCCGTTGTGTGCGTTACACGAATGAAAAACGTTTAAAACTCTCGTTAAGTACTTTATTAATCTCTGCGCGATATATACTTCAAGTTGATTCACTCGCACTTGACAGATAACGCAAATCATTACGACGATTATAAAAGTTCTTCTTCGTTACTGTAAGTTTACATTTTGCTTGACATGAAACTTATGAATCTCTGTTAATTTCTCGCAAAAAAGTTCGACATAGTTCAGATCGAAGAACCGTTGATTAATCTATAGGAAGACGATGCCGATATCTGTTTTAAGAACGGCTTTATAAAGTGCAAACAAGCCATCTGATCGAAGAAAAACTACAATTGTAGCCGCAACAAGTATCGGTCCTTAAAAAAACCTTCGAAACAAACGCGCAGACGGTAATCTACAACGGAAAAACTAGATCGATTTGCTGGCCTGCAAAAACTCAATTCCGAGCGGGAAAAACAGACCGGAAGAAACTTTGTTCCACGGTCGAGCGACACAAACGGAATACGCGATGAAAAAGATAATTTATCGAAGCAAATGAACGCGTTGCGTGCGGGCTGCGAGAAAAGAATCTGAATATCTTTGAAGGAAGATCTAAGAGACTAGCTGAAATTTTAGAAATCGCAATTACATAGAAAAAAGTACGCTTCTTCGTTTTGTGATCTACGCGATCTACGTACTCATGGTCGATATTTTAAGAAATTTCACTTATACATCTATGTAACAGCTTCTCAACTTTATCTCCCGAAATAAACACAAAAAGTATGTTTTATGCTTTGGATTGGACTTATATATTACGTTCTGGTTACTCAGAACGATGACCTTGACAATATACATAAAGGTCAATGAAATCAGCGATCGGTGTACCCTTTTTCTAACTTGCATTTAACGCCTGATCGTCGATGTATTATCACTGGGAAACACGTTTCACGAGTCTGACCAGTCAAAAGCTGAAAGTGGCCTACCATTTACGACAAGAAAGTTGTCAGACGTTAAAAATTAATAACGCGAACTGATTAACTGCGACTAGGAATTCTTTACTGTTGTAGTCAACTAGATAAGAACAAAGAGCCGACGTTGCAAAAGAAAAAGGAGGAACGTTAATGGCCTTCCCAACGAGGAGAACTTGACAAATGGTGGTCGACGGCGATGAAAGAACGGCTGCGTTTCGTTTCGTGGCCGCGTAACGAGTTCGGTCTTTCAGAACGGGAAAAGGGCCGACCATAAAGAACCGAGGCGATGCGGAGGACAGCTTGAATCGGGCAGCTTTTGTGACTACCTACTACCTACGCGAGCCTAAGATATATCGCGTGTCTGGAACAGTCGAGGGGAGCCAACGTGGAAATGGCGAGAGAGGGAAAATTTGCAAAACGCAACAACGTCCGCAGCCAGGATATAAATTAACATACAGCAGAACGAAAGATAAGGAACCTGAACGTTGTGGATGACAGGTTGAATCAGAAGCACGGGGATGTCGATGCTTAAAATATATTATGCTCGGCTGGAACTGAAACTCGATGAAATAGGAGCAGTGGGAAATAAATGTTACTCGATTATTGTGTAAATGTAAGACCGAGTGTATTATAAAGTATCGAATACGAGTAGTAAACTGATATACATATACAAGATAAATGATGTTGGTGCTCTTGCAATTGTCAGTGCAAATTAACCAGTCCATGTGATTCGACTTTTCGCAATCATTATATTTTCAATACTAACTACCACCGAAAAAATGTAAGGGTATCAGGAAAGATACTCAAAGTCTAAATATATAATATACATCATTGTTTATAACATGAGTGTCAAAATTAATCAAAATAGTGATCAAAAAAATGCTATGCATATGGACTATAAAATAATTAATTTTGCTACCTCAAATTAATGAAATTGTTATTAAAATGTAAGCGAATAAGCGAATCGTTAATTGGCCGACGTTTCAAACGAAATATCAATTCTTAGAGGTTTTTTTTTTTTATAATTTCGTAGTAATTTCACAGAGTTACTTAAGTGTCTTAATATTTATGAACAGGAATGTACCTACGTTGAATGTAAGTAAGATTAAATTGAATGAAAATGGTGGAAAGGGAAACCGAGAGAAGAACGTTCGAGGCCCAAGAGTGAATTAATATGTATAACGTTATAAAATTACAGATATGAAGGATAAGAACGAACATTAAATTCAGACTCTGATCATTAATTTGTTAAATGTACCGTGATTAATTGAAAATGAACGTGAATGAGAGAGCAAGAAGAAAAATTCATGGATTAACAAAATGAGAGTTCAGGAGACAAAGAATGCGGAGGACAAGTACAACATAGCGTACTGTGTTCAGTTCTGTGTTCAACCATGTGTAAAATATGTAGCGATTAACTGGAAACGACTGCATATGGAACGAAAGCAACGAGAAGGAGAATTCGCGTGCATTAATCTGTGTATGCGTAATTGAGTGAGTAAAATTGAAGCGTGAAAGCTGGAAAACATCTGTGACCGTTCTGATCGCGAGTTCCTTAAAAGTTAAATGTTTTGTACGCACTTACATATATCAATGTCTGCTTCGTTCTTGGCTGTATGAATGTCAATTGCATTATACAAAAATATATTCTTCTCGGAGGCTGTTCGATTATTAGCACTTTTCGTTATTTCAAGAAATTTTAACACAGATTTCGTCTCTCGTGGTATTAAAAATATGACGCAAGAATGATTAAAAATTCACTCTAAAATGAAAAACAACCATTTAGAAACAAGCGCGCGACCATTAAAAAGAATACAAATAAGAACCTGAAGATTTTTTGCAAGCGCAGTAGCAGAAACTCCACTATTCCTTCCGCTTTAATTGGAAGCATCAGCCTCGAACATGAAACTCGAGAGGCCATAAACCACAAAGTCGAAAACAAGCATCCCTAGTAAATTCAATTTCTCGAGAGCTCGTAAAAACTTCCGATCCTAAACCTGCCATCTTCTTCTTTCAAGAACCCCACGCTGCCCCACAAAGAACAATCGTCAACGACATCTGTCGTAGAGTCAGAATCGAACAGAAGGAAAAAGAAAGAAAGAAAGAAAGAGAGAGAGAAAAGGTGACTGCAATAGATAGCCGAAGGTGGACATCTTCTGTCCTTCCCTCTGAGGGTGGAAGATTTGATATCGGTTCTGAGGGGAAAGCTGAAAAAAGGGGAGGTCAAGTAGCAACCGGAGAGATACATTTGAGATAACGGCGGCGCGGCAGGCCGATGTCAAGGCGACCGTGACACGGTGAGACACGTCTCGATAAGGACGCGGAGAAAAATACAACGCGGCTGGTAAATTGCGAAGCGAAACGTCTCGAGGCTTCCTTGATCGGCTGATATATCGCGACGACGCGACGCGCGGAACGACGTGACTTGGACGCGAAGCGCGGCGATCCTTTCCAAGTCTCCTCGAGAGGAACACCTTAAATGGTGCACCGTGAACACGCCTCTTTGGTCCCTTGGTTCCTTTCCATGCAGAATACCGATTAATCGGCAATAAATAACATGCATAAACGGTGTTATCTTATTAAGATACATCAACGTCCAGTGTTTCCATTATCGTGTCGGCTTTTAACGTTCCGACTTGCTAGAATGGAGAAACCAGGCGCTCTGCTCGAGTACCAAAGGAGCCAGTTTCGTGTTTTATTACACTACACGTACACCACTTACGGTATCGTGACACACGATTCTGTGGCTTTGATAATACGAACAGGGTTACTGAGATTACTTCTATGTATTTAGGTGGTGTTTATGTTGAACCGAGTGGATTGAGAGCTCCCAAGTGCACGTATGAAATATCAAAAGGGCGATTGTAACGTGGATGCTGATGGAAGTAAAGTAAGAAGATGAAACGGAGTACGTGAAATATTTGGTTTATCAGCGAATTGAAAAGATCAATGGTATTTAGACGTTTGTTAAGACGTTCAACTAGAGAAATCAGAGGAAGGGTTGATTTAAGTTCGTATGATTAAAGATTCATTTTCAATGCGTTAAAACGCGTAGATGTGCGGTTTTACTCAGCAACTGTCCAGAAATTACACGTGATTACTTTTAATGGTTACACGGTTATTTGTAATACAGTAGCTGCTACAAAAGGTATCTACTCTTCCTTTATTTGCATAAACGTTTTACTTCCAATAACTAAATAAGGTAAAATATGACGAAGTGAGGACGGTGGTTCAGAAATGTACGATATTTTCTACAATTAAATGAAATGGATATTGTTGCACAGTGAGCAACCAAGCAGTCATATAGAACGTTGTTTTCGATATTCATTCCTGATATCGGACTGGCTTTTTTTCTACAAACAAACCCTTACTTTCATCATATTTCTGATAGTGACATGCATGTCCAGAAATAAAGTAACTTTACTACGTATCCGCTTAAATATTTCGAACCAAGGCCAGTGCTCGATCAAAGCTGTAAAACTGTGTCATGGATGTGCCTTGGCAGCTCGAGCGTTTTCGCTCTTTTTTTCATCTCCATTTCGAAACTTTCTACCCAGGGGTATGACTTTCACGTTCCCTAGGAAACAGTGACGTACAAATTTTGGTCCTTCTTATTCCCTTACGGCGTACTTTCACTTCGTTACGTTCTATGTTAACCTTTATATTACACAGTCGTCTGAACTTGGGAAAATTTTTCAAGTGTGTAATCTTCATATACCATATTAGGTTGAAAACTGATAATAGCAGATGATAATAATAAAACGATCAAAATAAAATGATAAAAATTACAGTATGTTACGAAGCGAGCAAATGCTGAATAATTATTTTAGGTGAATATAAAGTTTCCAGTCATGTTTTGCAAAATCCTACAAATTCTCGTATAATGAATT